AGTCTGCAAGACATTCTTCAGGACAAGCAGATAGTGACTGCCTTTGAAATTTCCTGCTTTGTGGAAATGTCTGCTGGAAACTATGGGCCTGTAGGCTGAAGATGGATGCCCCAAAGGTACAGAGGAACTTTGGGTGACTGTCCAGGCAGCGAGATGTCTCTGTCATTTCTAGAACTTTGGATTTCTTGTTTGCTTAGGTAATATTGTATCTTTCTGGATTCTTTGATGGAGTTAAGAATAGTTAGCTATAGTTATAGTTTTTCTTAGTTATGAAATAGATTATTGTAATTTTTACTTGATAACTGTTTTGTTATATGTAATTTTGCTATGTTAAGTTAAAGCCTTCCTTTTTTTGTTTAAACAGAAAAAGGGGAAGTGATGTGGGAGTGTCATATCAATCTGTTGATTTCATTGGCTGAGCAATAAAAGAAACTGCTTGGCTGGCCCTGATAGGTTAAAGCATTGGTGGGAGGAGTAAACAGAATAGGATGCTGGGCGGAAGAGGAAGTGAGGTCAGACTCTGCTCTGCTTCCAGAGGGACTCGACAGCTCTGCTATGGAGCAGAGATGCCATCCTCAGCTCTCCCAGGCAGCTCCAACCCACGATGGACTTAGGCTAGAATCTTCCCGGTAAGTGCACCTTGGGGTGCTTACACACATTCTTAGAAATGGGTTAGAACTCTAGCCAATAAGAAGCTAGAGTTCATGGGCCAAGCAGTTCTTAAATGAAAAAAAAAAAAAAAAAGAGTTCTGGGTACCTGGCTCTGCAAGCAGATGTGTGTAAGGTACACCAGACAATCTGACCGGGGTTCTTCCTCCTTGTTGCCCACAGTTAACTTCTGAGTTAATTCTTCTTGCTCCAGTTCCTCCAAGTCTTGCAGCAATTCATCCCGGACACAGGATGACAAGATTGGTCAAGACCAAGAAACCAGTCCCCAAAGACTCACTTTTGGGTTTCTCTCCTAAAGTTGTTCCAAGAGTCTCTCTTGAGTTTCCTTCTAAGCAGTCCAGTGCTTTTTCCGATATTCTCTGACCCCTCACCCTGGTCACCTCATCCACACCTCTCCAAAACCCTAGGGCGAGGAATGGCATCTGATACCTGCTGGGCCAGCTCCTGTTGTTCTGTGATGTCAGCCAGCAGTTCCTCTACCTTGTCAGTGTCACTAAGAACAAGACACACTGCCAAGGAATCAGGGAGGCACCCTCCCTCCAAGTCGCCCCAAGCCCCTAGCCACCATTGGCTTTCTCATCTCACACAAATGAAGGTTTTCCATCATATGGCTCACACTGGATTTTATGAAGCTTTAAAAAGGATCAAGTTTTTCTTGCCCAGAATGCCTTGGCCAGCCTGAAGAAAGCAAGGAGGTAGTCTAATCATCAAAAACATGATGCACGTTCTGTCTGAGAAGCTTTAGAAATCCAAAGTGAGGGCTGGAGAGAAGGCTCGGTTAAGAGGACACAAGCTTGATTCCCAGCACCCACATGAGGCTGCTTACAACTGTCTGTTGACTCCAGCTCCAAGGGATCCGATACCTTCTCTGGTTTCTGTGGACACCAACCCCCCTACTGCATAAACACACACAAACATACACATAGACACAAATAAATATTAAAAAAAGCCAAAACCCTCAGAGGTGAGGACCGGCCTTGACAAAATCATCTCTTACCAGGGTAGCAGCATGGGAATTTTAGAAATATAAGTAAAGACTATGAAGATGTATAAAAATAAGACAGAAACCATAGAACAGTACAGGGAGGGTATTCCAGTGATTACTAAAATCCGGCAATCACCCATGTTTATTTCCACAATTTTTATACCAAACATAAATGGGGGGCGGGTAGAAGGAAACACAAGACTTTATTAACATGATACAGAGGATAACTCACACAGTCAGTCGCTTTATCACTCTGAGACATCAAATCATCAGCATTTTGTTGTCTAGGTATCTAAACTGCTCCAGATCACTACACTGAAGGCTGCCCATCCCCAGGTGATCTCATAGTTACCAAAGGAGCAGAAAGAAGTATATTTGTACCTCCTGACCATCTGTCAGGATTGAATGGAACTATGTTAATGTCAAAAGAATCAAGCAGTCACAACCTGAGTTGGGACGTGCAGCTATGCTTGTCAACCATTTTGAGCGACCTCCAAACTCTCTGACCATCAGACAAGGTGGAAACTAGGCTCACATCTTGGGCCTCTACACCTCAGAAGACAGAGAGGCAGGCAGAGGCAGATCTATATCAGTATGAGGTGGGACTGGACTACATAGGAAGTTCTAGGACAGCCAGGGCTACACAGTCCTTGTCTCAACAAACAAACAAAACAAAAACAACTCCCTCTCCACAAAACAAAACCAAAAAGAAAAGAAAGTCTTGCAAAGGACTCAGTGCTTCCCAGCACCCACGTCTGGAAACTCGCACCCACCTGTCATTCAGCTCCAGGGGCCCCGATGCCCTCTTCTGGACTCCGTGGGCACCTGTCATGCAGCTCCAGGGGCCCCGATGCCCTCTTCTGGACTCCGTGGGCACCTGTCATTCAGCTCCAGGGGCCCCAATACCCTCTCCTGGTCTCTGTGGGCACCTGTCACTCAGCTCCAGGGGACCCAATGCCCTCTTCTGGTCTCCGTGGGCACCTGCCACTCCACTCAGCTCCAGGGGACCCGGTACCCTATTCTGGTCTCCGTGGGCACCTGTCACTCATGTGCACATACCGCTCCCCCATCCTAAAAATAAATTCAAAGTATTGACCCAAGCCACCCTTCCCAGTGCCTGGAGCCCTTATGCTTCTTCCCCGTCCCCACACTTCCTGGCAGGCTTTCTTCATGCCTTGGGTAGCAGGATCCATGGTACAAAGCACTCCTGCCTTGGTGGTGGCATGCTCAATGGCCACTGGCTGGACCTCCAGGATGGATCCTGTCCCGTGAGTTTGTGCCAGCTTCTCTTCTAACCTTTTCTTTCTCCACAGAGCCTGCATGGTGACTGATCCAGGCCACACCCTGAACACCAGGGTCAGAAGTACCTGCTTACCCCTGGATCCTCCCCAACTGTCCCTTTTCCCCTTACTTTGCTTACTCTTTTTTTTTTTAAAAAAAAATATTTATTTATTTATTATGTATACAATATTCTGTCTGTGTGTATGTCTGCACGTCAGAAGAGGGCACCAGACTTCATTACAGATGGTTGTGAGCCACCATGTGGTTGCCGGGAATTGAACTCAGGACCTTTGGAAGAGCAGGCAATGCTCTTAACCACTGAGCCATCTCTCCAGCCCACTTTGCTTACTCTTGGTCCCATACATTTTGGCCCACACCCTGAACACCAGGGTCAGAAGCGCCTGCTTACCCCTGGATCCTCCCCAACCGTCCCTTTTCCCCTTACTTGGCTTACTCTTGGTCCCATCCATACATTTTGGCTATGTGTAGCTCCTGTTGAACTTCTGCTTCAGAAATTCCTGTTTGATCAGAATTTCTACTGTCGTCTCTTTTAGTTTCTATATTGCTTCTTCAGGAGTTAGATTCCTCTCCTCCCTCGGGAGTCCAGTGGTGCGGAGCATATTGTGTGAAGGAAAAGTATTAGCTACCAGACAGTGAGGAACGCAGCATATGCGAGGCATTACCGTAACTGCTCAGCTGTAAGTGACTCTCTACAATGAACGTATCAGTATCACTCGACAAATAAGAAAAGTAGCACAACCCGAGACCGGCCTTGGCCAGTCTGTCCAGGGCATAGCCATGACTTCCAACAGGCGCAACCAAGACCGCAGCAGGACAGAGGCAAGCGCTCGGGTTGGCTCACTCCTCTTCAAGCAGCCGCATTACTCTCTGCTACCAAAAAAAGGCCGGCCCCAACCTTACTCCCAAATAGTAACAGCTTCTACTCCCTACAAGGATGCACACAGCACTATGGCGCCCTCCTGTGAAGCAGCAGGAGACGTTGGAAGGGGACTCGGGATGGGTTCCAACATGAGGGAACAACCTGATGCAGGCTCATCTTCCACACTCTGGTCCCAACACTCCAGCGCTGTCAAACCCAGTTTCCACGTTAGAAAAATGGAAAGAACCACCCTGTGTGTAAACCCACGACTGTCACACACGGACACTTTAATACATTGCAAATGCACCTAACAAGGCTTTCTTGATTTCGGTTTTACACCTCAGATGAGGCTTAGCCCCCGGGGTTGGACGTCAGGATCTAGCCTGGGCCTTTGCGAATGTTTCTAATCCTTGAGTTAGTGTTTGCAAACTCATTCCATTCTGGACGTGAATGCAGGTAACACCTAGAACAAAAAGAAGTCACATTTTACTAGCTTTCAAGCCTGCCATCCATGATCACCCCACACTTACTTTCCTAGGTCCTCCTAAGAACCCCTTCCTCACCCCCCAGTGACTCAGTACCCAGTCTGCCCACATCTATGATATTCCGCTTCTCGTCATCAAAGAAGACCATCTGGGAGAAAGGAACTCCAGTCTTATGGTGCAACCTGTAAAAGACAGAGCAGGGGCAACACGGCTGGTAAGATGGCTCACCTGACCTCCTCTCGGCCGCCTCCTGCTCCCACCGTTAGCCCTCTGCCTACCTCTCAAAGTGTGCGACTTTGCTACCTGGATAGATTTCCCGATGCACAAAATATTTGACGAGGTCAAAGAGCTCCAGGAGTTGGTTGGCCCCTTCGGTCTCACCTGTCCTGGAAGAAACAAAAAGAAAAACAAACAAACACCAGTGAGTGGCATTAGGAGAGTGCTGTCATGCCCAGATCCATGGGGTCCCCACAAAAGCCAACAAAGGAGACCGAGTCCCAGATGTAAAAGCAAAGAGCCTTTATTTTAATCAAGTTTGCACACTCGGTCTCTCCGCATGTCCAACGTATTGGAATATCCAGAGAGCTCTGAGCTCAATTAGAATTGGGTTTTTATAGTAGTAAAGGTGGGGGTGAGAGGTCTCCGAGGTTCAGGACTCCTGATTGGTTGACATTTGTCTAGGGGTGTCCTGGTGAAGTGCTGGCAGGTGTTTCTATCTACAGTGCTTGGAAGGCCAGGAATTTCCTTTGAATGGTCTGTTCTTGGGTGGGGGTTGGGTAATCTCGGCCTGCCAGGCATCGTCTCAGGGTAAACTATTGAGACTCCAGACTCCATCTAAATTTATCGATGGCCAGAGTCCCAGGTGATAATGGTTGGAGGTAAAGAAACTTCCTTTGGATGACCTGCCCAGACTTAGCTTATCATGGCTGGCTCTCACAATGCCAGGGATGCGGGTAAAATTAGATATATGGGGGTAGGGGGACCGATTTGCTCACTGTTATTCAATACCAGAGATTCTGAAATAGCTGGCTCAGAGCCAATGTTTAATCATTTAAAAGAACAGAAAGCAGGCTGGAGAGATGGCTCAGCAGTTAAGAGCACTGGTTACTCTTCCAGAGGACCCAGGTTCAATTCCCATCACCCACATGGCAGCTCACAACTCTCTGTAACTACAGTTCCAGGGGACTTGACACACTCACCAATGCACATACAATAAAAATTTAAAAACAAAAAACCTTTCTGCTAGGCAGTGGCACACGTCTTTAATTTCAGCACTCGGGAGGCAGAGGCAGGAGGATCTCTGTGAGTTCGAGGTCTCTCTGGTCTACAAGAGCTAATTCCAGGACAGGCTCCAAAGCTACCGTGAAACCCTGTCTCGAAAAAAAAAAACAAAAACAAACACAACAACAAAACCAAAAAACCCCTGAAAGCATAGGACAGAAAAACAACGAAATATTTGTACGTTTGCACCGCCTAACTTTTGGTGCCTAGGGAGTTACATGCAATTTCCTCATGCGTGGAGACGTGTCAGCAGGACTGTAGCTTTTCTTACCGTGAAGCAGCGGCCACTGGCACTCCAAGGCTCCGCAACCTTTCCAAGACTTCCGGTACCTCCGGGTACAGTCGGATGTTCTGGCCCCGCCTATCTCGTACGGTTCCATCACTGGAGAGGGCGACACACGCTCAGCTCCCGCAAAGTCCCTCCTGGCCCCTTACCTCCCTCTCTTCTCACCTGCTCTTGTGGAATGGGGGGTCTACGTGTGTATCAACCCAGAAAGGCCAGAGCGTGTAATCTGCGAGAGGAAGGAGGGAGAAGGATCAACCTCGGGGAGCGCAGACACTTTGCCAACGCCAGGAGTGGGCAAGGGAAGGGCCGTACGAAACTCTCCCTGCTGTTCCTCACCCAGATCAAAAACCGCAAGCTTTGGCAGCGGCGTCATGATCCACCCGCAAAGCCAAACTCAGCACCGAGAGCAACCCAACTCTTTGGTGGCCAAGTAGGCTGTGGGCGCGCCACAGAGAACCGGCGACGCTCGGGTGACTAGAGTGTCGCGGTCCGACAGCTCAAGAGCGCCTTTGGAGGCTCTGCGGGGAGATTACCTGCAGCGGGTGACGTCTCCCTCCAAGGCACTGGCCACTAGTATTTGGTGTCTTGTCTATACCACCCAGCTCACCACTTTTCACTAGAGAAGTCACGGAAACCTTTTCACACCTTTCTCTTGGAATTGAGGCCTTATCAGTTTATTTTGTGCTCATCTTGTCTTCCCATCAGCATCTTAACTGTGTAAAGACCAGTCTTCAGCAACCGCGAAACAACAAAGAATATAGTGTCTGCACCCCGTGATGTGTGCCTGAACCTCAGCTACACGCAAGGCCTAAGGGAGTTACTTGTACCTAGGAATTGAGCTCGGCAGGGCAACGAGGGGTGGAGGGTGTAAAACAGGAGAGGGTGGTCTCCAAGCCAGAAGGGCTGCTCAGGGAGAGCGTTTCTTCCCTAGGTTTCTAGCGTCTTCATCAACAGTAGGCTGCTATTCCCTTCAGCACTGTGAAGAAAAGGAAGCCTTGGGTTTTTGTCTCTAAAAGGCTTCTAAAAAATAAAACATGATTTTATGTGATACTCTTTGCTGTTGAGCTCAAGGCTACCCTTGAACTCCTGTCTCTACCTCCTAAATGCTGGGATTATAGGTACATGTCATAACACCAGGCTTTCATGTGACACTTTATACTATCACAGCACATGTTCACTTCAGTAAGCAGACACACGTGTACCACAATATGTACAATGTGTAAATGTTCCATGATTGCCTCATTTTTCAAGATAGGGTTTCTCTCTGTAGCCCTCGTGGGTTCTGGAACTTGCTTTGTAGGCCAGGCTGGCCTTGAACTCAGAAATCCACCTCTGCCTCCCAAGTGCTGAGATGAAACCACCACCCAGTTTGCTCCGGAATTCTCGATTCTCGTGCCTCAGCCTCCCAGGTGCTGGAATTACAGGCCTCAACCACCACACCTAGCTATTCGGAGGCAACACTTGGCACTCATGAGCTAGTTAAGAGTTGCCTACAACAGAACACGGGGCAGGCTTTCCTAGTCTAATCCTCCTCCTAAGGATGAGGGCCAAGCACTACGTGGGCTTGTTTCTCAGGTGGAGTGCAAAAGCAGGCTAAACTGGCGTTTAGAACTTTGAAGAATTAATTCCTCTGGGTTCAGTGTGTCCATCTATACACAGAGAGATGACAACACCCCTATCCGGATCCTTTGGCATAATGGGGTAGAATGTTTTTCAGTTGAAAGGCTATGCTGAAGCCAGTTGATGTGCATGCCTGGGATATGGTTCAGAATAAAGAATGTGCCAGACTGATGGCATATGCCTTTAATCCTAACACTCCGAAGGCAGATGGGGATCCATGTGAGTTTGAGGCCAACAAGTGCTAGGCCCTAGCTGGGGATACAGTTAGGTCCCTCACCCCCATTCTCAACCACCCTTTCACTGTCCTGCCTACCACTGTGTCCATTTCTATTTCAGTCACGTGTGTCGAGAAGAAAGAATCCAGGAGGCCAGGAAATATTTTATTGACAACCAAGGTTATAGCCATAAGAGAGGGAAGCACACAGGACTGCAAACTAAAACCCAACAGCCAGTAATGGTCATTTGGGCCAGGAGCACTGCACCCTGGTGTCCTCACATTCTCCCACCAGTAGACACACAAGACTGGGCATCCAAGGGAGGGGGCAGAAGTTCTGGTGTCCCAGAGCGTGAGAGGATATGTGATGCTTCATTATGAGCAGCAGGGCAAGGAGGTAAAATGGAACCGAGGTTCATCACTGCCCAAGACCACCTCCTCCTCTAAGAGCCAACACCAGGTGGAGGACTGAACCACCTAGGATCTTGTAATCAGCTGCTGTCTTCTCATCATTCCTGGAGGAAAGAAAAAGCATTAGAAATGCCATCTAGAACAGGCATCTGTAACCTGGGCTTGGGGATCTCTTTGGGAGGCCTGTGAAATTGGGTGAGAAAAATATTCCTTTATTTTTATTAGTTCCTAGCTATAATTAGTATTTAATTTGAACACAGACAAAGAGACCCATGGTGTTAACAATATGGTAACTTACACAACAGAAATTAAATACTTCTAAATTACATTATAACTGTTTGTAGGTATCTTGAAAAATTAAAAAAAAAGCAACTATCAGACCCATTATTAGAACTCACAATAAGATATTAATAAAGAGGGCTGGAAAGATAGCTCAGCAGTTAAAAGTTCAAACTGTTCTTGCAGAAGACCCACGTTCAGATTTCAGTACACTTCAAGAGGCTCACTATCTATCTTGTGTAACTACAGCTCCAGGGGGATCTGATAGCCATAGGCACCTGCACTCACATGCAGACCTATAAATACACACGTAACTATATACAATAAATTTTAAAAATACATTAACAAAGCACATATATTACTATTCTACAAATTTGCTTTAGTAGTTTGATAACTGTTTCAACATTAGTTTATAATTCAATATATGCTATTCTATGACTTCTCTTATTCTGGGAAGATTCCATAGGCTCCACCAAACTGTCAAAGAGCTAAAAGCAGGGACACACTGAAGTAGTGGCAGGCCTCTGCATCTCTAGCCTTGCCACCTGTCTTCACACAGGGTTGCTACACCCCACTGCACCCAGACTTACATTTGTTTGCCACTGTAGATGAGCCTCTGCTGTTGTGGGGGGATGCCCTCTTTCTCTTCCACACGTTCCTTGATTCGCTCCACCTTTAGAGGAAAAGAGGTCAGAGGCTACTCAGAATTATAGAAATAGTAAGAACAAGGCTGTGTGGACAATATGAGAACAAAAGACCCAAGGTCATAGGCACACACAAAGACATAAAGAAAGGAGGGCGACATGCTGAGCATACATCACCTTGTCTGTGGGTTCAATGTCGATCTCAATCTCCTTCCCAGTCAGCGTCTAAAACAGACAAAGATGCCATAAATTCCACAGCCCCAGATCAACTGTCTTCTGTGGTGGAATGAGATGGCCCAGGCTCATGTGTGACGACTTGGTCCAGAGTTAATGGGAAGGACTAGGAGGGGTGGCCTTGTTGGAGGAGGTGGGCTTTGAAGTTTTCAAAAGCTCAAGACACTTCTAGTTAGTTCGTTCTCTCTCTCTCTCTCTCTCTCTCTCTCTCTCTCTCTCTCTCTCTCTCTCTCTCTCTCGGACTAAGGTGAACTCTCAGCTTCTGTTACAGAATGCCTGACTATCTGATGCCATGCTTTTTGCCATAATGGTCATAGGCTCACCCTGTGAAACTGTAAGCTCAGATTAAATGCCATCCTTTATAAGTTATATTTTGGTGGGTTGTTTGAATGTAACTGCCCCCATAAGATAAGAGAGTGGCACTATTGGAAAGTGTGGTCTTGTTGGAGGAAGTGTGTCACTGTAGAGGTGGGTTTTGAGGGCTCATGTATGCTCAAGCCACGCCCAGTATCTCAGATCACTTCCTGTTGCCTGCAGATAAAAAGATGTGTTAACTCAGCTCCTTCTCCAGCACCATGTCTGCCTGCATGCTACCATGTCCCGCCATGATGATAATGGATAAATCTCTGAAACTATAAGTCATTCAATTAGATGTTTTACTTAATAAGAGTTGCTGTGGTCATGTGTCTCTTCACAGAAACCAAAACCCTAAAACAGTTGGTCATGCACACACCTATTATCCCAGCACTCCAGAGTATGGAAGCTAATAAATTTGAGGCCAGTCTGGGACACACAGTAGATGCTATCTCAGAAACACAGAATTAGTGCTGGAGATGTAGCTTGGTTGGTAGAGTGCTCGCCTATGATGCCTGGGCTCAGGCACGTAAACTGTAGAAACTGGACGCAGTAGTGCACAACCTATAATCCAAGCACCTGGGAAGTAGTGACAGGAAGGTAAAGGAGCTCAAGATCCTGGCTACATATAACCTAGCCTGAGATAAGTGAGATCCCATCTTAATAAGATAAAGAAATTAAATACAATAATCCCTCACGTGACAAAGTGAGGTTTGTAATTCTGTGTTGTCCATAAATCATTTTGTTTTATTTAGCTTAATAGTCAAATGCAAAGACTTCAACTACAGAATTCACTTCTAGGTCATTAACTTAGAGAAAGCTGGCCTTTTCCCCACACCTTTAATTCTAGCGCTTGGGAGACAGATGCAGGCAGATATCTGAGTTGAAGGGTAGCCTGGTCTACAGAGTGAGTTTAAAGACGGCCAGGGCTACACAGAGAAACATTGTCTTGACCCACCCCCAAAGGAAAACCTTAGAAAAAACCACCATAAGAGCTAGAGACAGCTCAGTAGTTAACAGTGCTCACCATACAAGCCTAGTGGCCTGACTCTAATCCCTGAAACCCATGTAAAGGTGAGAAGAGAGATCCAATTCAACAAAGACATCCTTTGACCTCCACATACCTCTGTGGCATAATGCAGCCACACTTAACCCCCCCACCTCAAAAATAAAATACAGGGGCTGGAGAGATGGCTCAGTAGTTAAGAGCATTAACTGTTTTTCCAGAGGACCTGGGTTCACTTCATTCCCAACACCCACCTGGCAGCTCACAACTGTCTGTAACTCCAGTTCCAGGGGACCCAACACCAATGGCAAAACACAATATACACATAAAATAAAAGTAAATAAAAATTTTAAAAAGTAAAATATAGAATATTTTATGAGCCAGGTGGTGATGCACGCCTTTAATCCTAGTACTTGGGAGGCAGAGGCAGGTGGATCTCTATGAGTTTGAGAACAGCCTGGTCTATAGAGCAAGTTCCAGGACAGCCAGGGCTGTTACAGAGAAACCCTGTCTTGAAAAACAAAACAAAACCAACAAGCAAACAAAAAGAAGTGCTCCAGATGCCTGGCTGATTGACAGGGTTAACATGTGCTCAAGTAATGGGATGATGACTTATGATAGAAGAGAATGCATTTGATTTTAGGACCATGCAAATCAGGTAACAGATTTCACTCAGAAATGGTCTGGGCTAGGGATCTAGCTAGCATACACAATGCCCTATCCTAGCTCAAACAAACAAAAGCAGGAAGGACTTAATTGTGAAGGAGAAAGGAGTACATAAAGTTAGACAAGATAGCAATATAGAGAAACAGCTGAAAAATGAGTAATCTACAAAGAACCTTGTTAAAAACTCTTAAGTTCTACAGAAGCGGCTAAATATTTCATATACTTAATATATAAAGAAAGAGCAAACAAAGGGATGGAGGACAGAGGGATTAATATTAGACAGAAGGGCTAAAGAGACGGCTCAATGGTCAAGAGTACTTTTTTAGGGCACCTGGATTCGGTTCCCAGAGCCCATATGGTAGCTCACAGCCACTTGCAACTTCAGTTCCAGGGAATCCAGTGCCTTCTTCTGGCCTCCTTGGCATCAGGCACACAATTGGTGAACAAACATAGAGGCAGGCAAAGCACCCATATACATAGACGTAATAAAAAATAAAGAAAAACAGGCAGATGTTGCAAACAAGGAGAATGGTAAATACTGAGTAAAACTGAGGATGGTGATGCACGCCTATAACCCTAGCCCTTGGAGGTTGAGGCAGGAGGAACTGAATTGGGGGTCAGCCTGGGTGGGACTACCAACACCGTCTCAGCCAGCATTTGGAGGCTGAGACTGGGAGGATCTTCACAAGTTTGAGACCAGTCGAGGCTACAGCAGCGGGTTCAAAAACCAAAGTGATAAAACACACCCCCACTGCCAGTGCAGTTCTCCTGAGCAAGGGCTATCATTTTAGCAACACCCTTAGGTGATTCTTTCTGTCCAATAAGTCTGAGAAGTCTACCTGGAATGCAGTATTTTAAACTGTAGATCTCACCCCAAAAACAGTTAACAAAAACAACTTAAAATGATTTGCTAACATCAGAGCATATCAAACAGCAAGCTCCATGAGTAAAATCTCTCAGTATAGGGCTTTTTTAATTTTTAAAAAAGATTTATCTTTATTTTATGTGCATTGATGCTTTGCTTGCATATGTCTGTGCAGGATGCGCACGCCGTGCCTGTGGAGGCCAGAGGAGGACGTGGGATCCCCTGGAGCTGGAGCTACAGTTGTCAGCTGCAGTGTGAGGGCTGGGAATCAAAGCCGGGTCCTGAGGAAGAGCAGTCTTAACTATAGAGCCATCTTTCCAGGCCTACACTGCTTTAAATTGTTTAGAAAACAACCAAACACAGCATAAGTAGGAGAATAGCCTCCCCTTTGGAGCGTGAGTGATGAAAAGGCAAAGCCTTCTCCTTCCGCAGCCGCCACACTAAGGATGCTTACAGTGGGGCCGAAGAGGTGGCGCGACAGTGAGGAACACCGACTGCTCCTGCAAAGGACGCGGTTCCGTTCCTGGCACCCACATGGCAGCTCACAATCATCTGTAACTCCAGTTCTAGGGGACCCAGCACCCTCTTCTGGATTCTTGGGGCACTAAACACACATAATACACTGACAAACATTCAGGCAAAACACCCTTACAGATAAAACAAAGGTCCCCTCCCCCCAAATCCACATGCACTACTATCACACACCTAACAAAAATGAAAGCAAGAATCACAAAACAATACCTTTACCCAACAGTAAACCCACTTTCATTTCGCAAAACATAAACATATATATTTCCTAATTTTAGTCAATTTCTACACTTTGGCGTTGAGAATCAAGTGAAAGGCCTCAGGTGTGCTAGTCAAGCAGCCTAGCACTCAGATCCCGGCCTTCTCTCCCATCCGTTCTTTTCTTTCCTTCCCAGTTTTTGTTTGAGACAGGGTCTCTAGAGTGTACTGGAACTTCAGACCATCAATCATCATTAACATTTATCTTGTTGTTTTTTGTTTGTTTTTAAAAACACGGTTTCTCTGGATAGCCCTGGCTATCCAGGAGCTCACTCTGTAGATCAGGCTGCACTCACAGAGATCCACCTGCCTCTGTCTCCCAAGCACCAGAATTAAAGGCATGCGCCAACTGGCTAATAATTTCTATTTTTTAAAATTTTATTGAGCTCTACATTTTTCTCTGCTCCCCTCCCCTCCAGCCCTCTCCCAAGGTCCCCATGCTCCTAATTTACTCAGGAGATCTTGTCTTTTTCTACTTCCCATAATTTCTATTTTGAAACTGGTTGCAGGAGGGACTCTTTGAGAGGAGGAAGGTATGGTCCATGGAGATAAAAGAAGGTAATGACACATGACGAATATGAGCAAAGCACCAGGATGCACACACACACACACACACACACACACACAAACCCCTCACAATGAGACCTATCATTGTATACACAAAAAACAACCAAAATAAAAAGCTTAAGACTCGAAGACCTAGTAACTCATAGATGACCAATCAATCTTTGAAAAATAGCACATATCAACTTGTTCTCTGGCTTCAATCCTTTTTTTTTTTTTTAAAGACAGGGTTTTTCTGTTTAATAATCCTGGCTCTCCTGGAACTCGCTTTGTAGTCCAGGCTGGCCTCAAATTCATAGAGATCCGCCTGCCTCTGCCTTCTAAGAGCTGGAATTACAGCGTGAGCCACCGGGCTGGCTTCAACCCTTAATTTAAAACGTTAATGGAGGGACTGGAGAAAACCAAGTTAACAACAGCTGACATACACAGGACTGAAGACAGGCTTACAAAGCTATCAACAGCTCAAACTAATGTCAGGCTGCGTCAGCTGCCAGTCTTGTGTCTGTCTAAACGTACAAAGGTAAAAACAGCAGAAAAGGCTGGAAGGGTTTAAAGCTGATGAACTAAGGGAGCTGAAGAAGACACAGTTGGAAGAACCAATGCGCCGAAAAGTAACCTGATGCAATCAATGAAGTGAGGCTGGTTCTCATTGTTCAGCTCGGACAAGGGGGTGCCAAGTGGTCACCTCCTAGCGCAGTTACTGAAAGACAGTTGGCAACCACCAGAAAAGGCTCATAGTTGCTAAGAGGCCCTCACTGTCCCCAGACTACTGCTTTGGTGCTGCTGTGTTTTGGAGGCCCGGGGGAAGCATGCAACCTAGGTATGAAGAACGGGGAACAAAGCTTTTTATCAAAAATTCAGGAGTGAGGAGCCAAACTGCTGCCAGGCCTTCTCTGACTACAAGGGTTCGAATACAGTGAGACCAGGACAAACGCAGCCTCCTTTTAGGTTACAGCATAGACCTGGGAAGGATGTAGGGAAGGCAAACACCCGAGGTCTTCAGGCGGGACGGGCCTCCAGTGCTCAAAGCCTCCCGGGGTCCCCCCAGTTCCCATCACGCCTCGCGCACGGCCCCGAGGGTGTCAACCCTCCAAGTTCAGGAAAGGCATGGTTTTCCTTCCCCGCCTCTCCCCTAAGGCGCAGCGGCCAGCCCAGCACCACAGAGTCTTGGCAAGCCTGGTAATGCTCCCACCTTCACTTTAATTAGCATCTTCCTCCCTGGTTGGGGCTGCAGGCGGCTGTAGTGCTGCTTCTCCCGCTGTGGTCACCGCTGCCGCTTCCCAGCACTCCACGGCTAGGGACACTTCTGCTTCCGGGTCACTCTCCGGATCCACCCTCTCCTCTTTCCACCCGGCTTCCAAAAGGCTCAGGAATGCCCTCGTGTTTCGAGTCAGTGGCGTTGTAGAGAAGAAGGGCAAGCCGGCTTAGGAAAAGCACAGACGACGCCCTGAGACGCCACGAGGGCCCAGCTCGCTGGGGTTAGCGGCGAGCTGAAGCAGAACAAACTACTCTTCCCATCATGCCAGGAGGCAGCTCCGACCTTTGCATCCTAGGAGTTGTAGTCCTCCCGCCGCTCGCATCCAACGGCAACCTCAGTGTGTGGACTCTGTTACCCAGAAGGCCTTGCACAGCTCCCGAAGCAAGAATTCCTTGGGTAGTCGGACTTGCAATTAGCGGAACTTGTTGGTGTTGCCCTGAAGGCTCATCGGGGCTGCACGCGGCTAGTTGCTAAGCAAAAGAATCTTTGGTCAACTGCCACCTGAGTCAAAAGCAACAGGAAGTGAGTACCCCTGTGCCGGAAGCTGATTGAAATCTCTTTTCTCCTTCCCGACTAAGTCAGTTTCTTACTCTAAATTGCCCTTTGCTGGGGCGTGAAAAAGATTAGCCGGGTAAGGACTGCACCTTCAGAGATCGTGATCTCTTTCCTGTTCTTCCTAACAATACCCTGGGATTGAAGCGTTTGGGTAATCCAGACACTGGATAGTCCTAGTAAGACTTCAAGGACCACACCCTAACCTTTTACACAGTTTAAGCTTGAGCGGTAGCCCTTGTCCTAGCGTCATCAAGATAATTAAGGCCCATGAGGGGCTTGGTTCCGTTTCTTACTTGTAACTTCCTAGGCTTACAGCCCTCAAACTTCTATCTAACTGCAGCCCTGCATCATGCCTCATATTGACAATGATGTGAAACTGGACTTTAAAGATGTCCTGTTGAGGCCCAAACGCAGCACCCTGAAGTCTCGAAGTGAGGTGAGCCAGCTATATTCTTGCTTTTTAAACCTCAGACTTGCGGGGGACCAGGACCAAGAAAACTGTCTGGTTCTAATGTGATACATATTTTATGGATGAATGAAATGCTTAATGTCCTGTTGATGTCTATAGGTAGATCTCACAAGGTCCTTCTCATTCCGCAACTCAAAGCAGACATACAATGGCATCCCCATTATTGCTGCCAATATGGATACCGTGGGGACTTTTGAAATGGCAAAGGTTCTCTGTAAGGTGAGACCAATCTTATGTACCATACCCAATGTTACCCCAATAGACTGCAGAAGCATTGCTTTTCTACTCCCATTCTCTGACAACTGACAGAATCCTTGGGTTCACCAATTTTTCACATTACTAAGGACCCTTTATCACTTCAAAGATCCATTTGAATTAGTGAGGTTCAGAATTTGATTTTGTTCCATTTTTTGCTTGTTTTTGTTTTTCGAGACAGGGTTTCTGTGTAGCTTTATGAGGCAGCCCTGGAACTCGCTTTGTAGACCAGGCTGGCTTTGAACCCACAAAGATCCACCTGCCCCTGCCTCCCAAGTGCTGGGATTAAAGGTGTGCACCACGACTGCCCGGCCCATTTTCTGATTTATAACCCCCCCCAATAAGTTATATACCTTATCAAATTCTTCCAGCCCCCACCCTCAACCCAGTCATCCACATCTCTTCAGTCTGCCATTGTTCTGAACATTGAGTGTTCATTGTTTAGCCCAGAAACAAAACAGTGTTTATATGTATAATGTCCCAGAGAAAATAGTCTTATTAGTGTTCTTGTATGCCCATTATTCTTTTAATTTTCCCCTGCTTTAAGTCCTAGGTTCCTGGGAGTTTCTGAGATGTACCCCAAATGGATGTTTTTTTCTTAAATGCAGGTTGTTCCCTTTGAGAGTGGAAGACACTGCTCCTGTCAGTAATGTTGCTTGCTTCTGTGCATGTAGCTGAGAAGGTAGATAGTTGCCTGGGCACTTTTGAGAACATAATGTGCTTTGCTAGTAACCCATGTAGCCCTAGTTGATGGGTTGTTTAGCCTGAAGGACTTTCTGATTTTTCTGTCTTTGTAGAATATTTGTTGTGTTTTCTCTGAGACTGATAATTATGGTGTTTTATTATTTTATCTGTTTTTCCATTTACTAACTGTTAGGAATCCCACTGTTGTCTATTGTCTGCCTTCTCTGACAGGTAGATTTGGGGGATGTAAGTCTGTCAAAAGACATGCTGCAAATATGACTCTTACTGGGGACTGGATTTCAATACTGATGAGAAATGCCACAGAAACAAAAGTTTAGTCTGGCAAAGGTGCCACACACCTTTAATCCCAGCACTCAGGAATTGTTTCTCTGTGACTTGAACCAGCCTGGTTTACAAATCAAGTTCCAGGACATACAGAGAAACCCTGTCTTGAAAAACCAAAAATAAACAAAAAATCAAATTCTAGAAAAATAGCCAAGTCTCAGTAATAATAAAAAGGTTAGATACTAGTCAACTTTTTCTCAGGGTTGGTATGTGTTGGGTATGTTTATTAGGTCAAATATCTCCAAGTTCTGCGGACTACCTAGAGCTTATTTGCCAGCATGTTGACAGTTGAGTGTTACTGAGAAAGAATACCAGCTTTTAAGCATGTTGCTGGCTGATACATAACCACTTTGGGTTTCTCCGCACTTGCAAGATTTGTGCTGTTTCAACCAACTCCTGACTCTTGTCTGGTTTCATGTTTGTGCTTTCAGAAAGCATAAACACCAGCATCCTGTGTATTCCGAATGCCTTTCTTAGGGGATATTTGCAGTTTTATGAGCCAGAGGTTTTGAGCCTGCTGAGTCAAGATTTTTGGTGGTGGTGGTTTTTTGCTGTTTCTATGAGACAGGATTTCTCTGTAGCCCTGGCTGGTGAACTCCAAAGATCACCTGCCTCTGCCTGAGAGCTGGGATTAAAGGCATGTGACACCACCATGAAATTGATCTTTGCATGTTTATGTTCCTAACATGAAAATCTGCCCTTACTCTGCAGAGAAGATAAAGTATGGAATAGTATTTTGTTTGTTCTACTGTCTTAAGCCTTTAGCTTTGTGTATGTCTAGAGTCGGAGTACTGCTAGCAAGTAAACCAGAAGAGAGAGAATTACAGAACTTTTAGTACTGGATGGCCTTAGTGCTAAGTGTAGACAAACACTAGCTCCGTCCAGCCTCTGTAGTTCTTCCACGCCTGCTACTTGTCCTGCTGCACCAGCAGCATGTCCCTGTCAGCTTTTTAGGTCACAAGCAATGTCTGTGCTGACAAGTTCAGTCCAACCCAGATCACAGCACTTTGACAGGAATGCTTGACAAGTACTAGTTTAGGGCGAAAAGCTAGCCATGTTGGGGTTTGTAGGAAGAACAGTGGTTCAATCAGCTCAGTGGGGAACTCCTTCACATTGTCTCTCAAATGCATCATTTCCTCTCCGGACAGTATAGATATGTCAGATGTCTAGAAATATCTAAAAATAGAAATGTCTAAAAATAGTCAAGCTTTTGCCCTTCTGATGGTTCTTTCTCCTCCCCAGTTCTCCCTTTTCACTGCCGTCCATAAGCACTACAGTGTCCACCAGTGGCAAGAGTTTGCTGGCCAGAACCCTGACTGTCTTGAGGTAACCCAGGGCCTGCCCTGCTCCCTCACCAGTTTCCTTGGAACCCTCTTTTGACTCTTTAGGAATAACCCCCACTGTTAGTCCCTACTGATGCCTTACCAGGCAGGTCACTCCTGACACAGTGCCACAGGCTGATCTAATGTTTTCTCCACAGCATCTAGCCGCTAGCTCTGGCACAGCCGCTGCTGACTTTGAGCAGCTGGAACAGATCCTGGAAGCTATTCCCCAAGTGAAATACATATGCTTGGATGTAGCTAATGGCTACTCTGAACACTTTGTTCAATTTGTAAAGGATGTACGGAAGCGCTTCCCCCAACACACCATCATGGTATGTGTGTCCCATCCCGTCCCCCTCCCCCCAAGGTTTCTCTATGTAGCCTTGGCTGCCCTGGAACTCACTCTGTAGACCAGGCTGGCCTCACACTCAGCAATCTGCCTGCCTTCCAAGTGCTGGGATTAAAAGCATGTGCCACCACACTCAGCTAGGTATGTTTTTAGTCTCCTCTTCTTTTGACATTCCATCTTGTCCTACAATATTTGTCCTCTGGGGCACCATGTTTCTGGTCTACATGGTATTGTCATGGTTCAAAGGTTTAGTTGTGTCTTAATCAGTGCAGCATCTCTGACCCAGTGACTGACTTCACTTAAACATGATGGAAGCGGGCATGGTGGTACACACCTTTGAAGGCAAAGGCAGGTGGATCTGAGTTGAGGTCAGCCTGGACTACAGAGTGAGTTCCAGGATAGCCAGGGATACAGAGAAACCCTGTCTTGAAAAACCCAACAAAACATGATGGAAGGGGTCTGGAGAGATGGCTCAGAGGTCCTGAGTTCAATTCCCAGCAACCACATGGTGGCTCACAACCATCTGTAATAAGATCTGATGCCCTCTTCTGGCCTGCAGGTTTACATGCAGGCAGAACACTGTACACATAAATGATAAAAAAAAATTGAAAAAAAAAATGATGGAACATTTTACACATTGCACATACCCGTGGTACATGTATGTCTCCCTACTGAAATGGACACATGCTGCAATAATATAAAGTATCACATGAAAGCCTGGTATTGCAACACATAGACTATAATCCTAGTATTTGGGAGGTAGAGACAGGAATTTTAAGCCCTGAGGTCCTGTCTCAAATTAACAAAAAGTATCGTATAAAACCATGTTTTATTCCTTTGGAGGCCTGTTAGAAACAACCTACGGCTTCATTTTCTTCACAGCATTGAAGGGAATGCCCACACTGTCCAAGCAGTTAGGCAGATGGAGGTTTAGCCCACATTTCATTGTCTTTTCTTTTCCTCTGAAGGCAGGGGGCTTCAGGACTGGGAAGTAGTGACCTGGTAGTGAAAGGGGAACCACTGTCAGATCTGAGTGGTATTTCTCTGCCATTTTGTCTTTCTGCTGGTTGACCTTACTGCCCTAAAAGTCCTTCTGGACTGTTCTGCCCTAGTTCAATGACACTGGCCAGTTCCTGCTATCCTTTACACCAAGTGAAAACAGGAATATGGAGAGAGGCGAGTGGGATCCAGGTCCTCTCACGTCCTCTCAGTGGGGAATGTGCTGTGGAGGGCTCTGGATACCCTTTATTTGTAAGGATGGTCATAGTCAAGGCATGCCGTATGAGCGCACAGAGCTGCTCTCCCCCACTGACCCTAAGGATGCTCTCTTTCGCTTGTGTCTTAGGCAGGAAATGTGGTAACAGGAGAGATGGTAGAAGAGCTAATCCTCTCTGGGGCTGACATCATCAAAGTGGGAATTGGTCCTGGTAAGCTGGTTCCCTGGGGCCGCTGTCCTATCTACCCCTTTGGTGGGTAACCACAGAACGGTTTTCTCACCTGTCACATCCTTCCCAGGCTCTGTTTGTACAACTCGGAAGAAAACTGGAGTGGGGTATCCACAGCTCAGCGCAGTGATGGAGTGTGCAGATGCTGCTCATGGCCTCAGAGGCCATATCATTTCAGTAAGACCCAAGGGCTGGCTGCCTTAGCAGCTATGTTTTCTGTGGTGTGCAGCCCCAGTAAAGTCCCTGTCAGGAGCTGAATTCATGTCCATTTTGATATGGGCAGTTGTGAAGCCTTGAGAAGTCCATGCTGTCTCTCACAGTGTTTGTTACTTTGTAGGACGGAGGCTGCAGCTGTCCTGGGGATGTGGCAAAGGCTTTTGGTAAGGAGACTGGGAAAGCATAGGAAGAGGATCCTGTAAGTCATCTGAGGGTCTAGGGTCAGGCTAGCAGCAGCTCGGGAACCCATTCAGTTTCATAATATGAACTAGTGACTCTGAGACTTAAAGTGTCACTTGTGACAAGCTAGCAGAGGAAATCCTGAGATTTTTGGACAATGCAGGTATCTGAGCCCTATACCCAACCTACAAAATCACCTGAGGAAAAAAACTTGCAAATCTCCATCTTCCTATTTCCCAGGTGATCCTTAAAATTGGAGAGCTATCTTCTTGGGACTAGAGTCACACTCAGCTGGGGAGCAATAAAATGAAATCACCAGAAGATAGGAATGCAGAAACAAACCAGCCAGGGAACGTCCGGGTCTTGAAAAATCTGGAGGAAGTTAGTCCTAGTGGGTAGCGGAGGCAAGGGCACAGCAGTCCCAAGGCACTATGGATCAGCTGTGCAAACAGACCCAAGAAGATGTTGGTTCACAGAACTGACTGACACAGCTGCTTTTGAAGGTGGCTATATGGTTCCTTGGCCTTTTTTCCAACTCCTTGACTTTGGCAGGGGCAGGGGCTGACTTTGTGATGCTGGGTGGCATGCTGGCTGGGCACAGTGAATCAGGTGGTGAACTCATTGAAAGGGACGGCAAGAAGTACAAGCTCTTCTATGGAATGAGTTCTGAAATGGCCATGAAGAAATATTCAGGAGGTGTGGCTGAGTACAGGTATGTATGGAAGGATAGCGTGCGTGTTGGTGAATATGGCTAAGGAAGATTGTGTCATGCCTCCTGGGAAATTTAAGGTACCATTCTTGGGAAAAAAATGGTAAAGGGGTTATAAATGTTAGAGTCAGAAGAGTCACTGGGCTTAAGAAATTCTGAACAAATAGGTAATAAAAGTTTTTCTTTTTCAAGGGCCTCAGAGGGAAAGACAGTAGAAGTTCCTTTTAAAGGGGATGTGGAACATACTATTCGCGACATCCTGGGAGGCATCCGGTCTACATGCACATATGTAGGCGCTGCTAAACTGAAGGAGTTGAGTCGGAGAACTACCTTTATCCGAGTCACCCAGCAAGTGAATCCAATCTTCAGTGATTCTCGATAACCTGACAAGTCTTCTTTCCCAAGGCCAACACTCTGCCACTGGGGCCTTAAGGCCTTCTCTCTCATTCCAGCTACCGTGGCTGTGTGTTACTTAATTCAGTTCCTATCACCTCACTCCTGAGTGCTCCTGTAGTCACAGCACTTCCTGCACACACAAAATGCTAAGGGCACTCACTGGGGAGGAGGCAAAAAAGAAGACATGAGATCAACAAATGGGAATCCAGGGACAGCATTCTGAAGACTAGGAGGAAAAGATGCTGACTGATAATAAACGACAAGCCTTGGTCTGGAAAAAGAAGGCTTTGGAATCATGTTAATTGGCTTCATTAAATGAGATCATCAAATAACTAAACAGCTTAGAAGTACTTATTAAGATAGATCCTATTGATGGTAAAAAGAGATGCTGGGCTATTGGCACAGCTGGTGTCTAAACACTCCTCCTAGGTAGAGTATGGGATCAATAACAGTGAGTGTTATTCTCATGAAGCACCTACACACTAGTGTCACTAGTCCCAGATAACTTGGTAGCATGAACATTTGCAGAACAAATTCTGCTATTAGAGAATGTTAACAGAACAAGCACTCAATTTATTTCTAGGCTTTCAACCCTGGTAACCCATCCAGATAAATCAGAACAACCCTTTCAAAGCAAGGAAATATGGGAAGGGCTTCAACCAGCTCTAGGGAAGCCAGTTATGTCCCTGAGGAATGACCTACCTAGAAGGATGTCTTAATTCCCCTTCAAGACATTGGAACACATTCAAGTTTTAATTTTCAAGCATTACAAAGCTTCAGCAATGTAGCCAGGCAGCTCGGCTCTGGGCTTCCTTTTCATTCCCACTAGACTGCACACGGAGCTGCAGAGGTTGATGGGCAGAGTGCGAGGGGCCTTCCAGAACCATTACAGGACCCTAGAATTGGCTATCTTGTCAGGAATGAACAGGCAGGACTCGGGCATGTAGTCACAAAACATGGGGATAAAGGTGTCATACTTTGTCTTCTGATAGTTTTTCAGAGACTCCTATAGAGAAGGAAGCACAGTTCCTAGAACCGGAACCCCTAAAGTGGACATCTGTCTTGCTCTGCCCACCCTCAGCCTTCTGTTTCTTCCTACTCACCTTTCTTTCCCTCTGGTTATTTTCTTCCTCATCAGAGTCCAAAACCCTGTCCCCTATGGTAATAACAGAGTCACACAGAGACGGAGCCTGCACTGCCACTGCAGAAGAGAAACCACAATTAAAACCAAAACCAGATACTTGCTCTGGAGACCAAACTGGTCTCAATCTCACAGAGCTCCACCTGTCTCCACCTCCCACATGCAGGGATTAAAGGCGTGTGCCACCACTGCCCAGCCCCAAACCATTCTTTTAGGTGAATACAGGCCCTGAAAATTCCCAAGAAAAGGCTGTCCACTCGAGTCTTGAGTCAGCCCACTAACCTGGTTTCTTGGGTCTAGGAGGTGATAATGACAGTCTCAGAGGATCCATGTAGCAATTCACAGAGTTCCTGAAGTGGGAACAAGGGAAAGGTAGGTGAAGAAGGAAAGCAGGCAAAGAATGGGTTCCTAAGTAAGGAGAAGCAAGTCTTACTCCATTTGCTCTGCAGCAGGTACGTCAGGGAGGCTCTCTTCTGGAGCCCTTTTCCCCGTGGTCTGAGATGCAGTCCTGGATTTCCCAGTGGAGACTGTTTTTGTACCCACAGAACCCGCTGCGTCCACTTCATGCTCTTCCCTGCTTTTCCAGTTAGATGTATTTTGGGCCGTTAAGTCCATATTCCTAAAGGGGAACAGCATGACTGTAGGCCGCTCTTTATGACATCCCTTTGCAGATGTCCACTGTGATCGCAATTTTCGCTTCCCTAGAGGGGCCAGGTTAAAGCGGCTGCCAGCTAAATGTTCTGGGTGCTCCCGTGAAGCTGGCTGGTGAAGGCCAGGCTTAGCTTTAGGCAGAGGACTGTGGAGTGCTGGTTCTGCTTGCTGATGAGGACTCTGTTCCACGGGTTCTGTCAGATTAACTGAGCCAGAAGCAGAGCTCTCTGAAAGATAAAATAAGATGCCTTATAAAATCAGAAATGGGGGGGGGGGCTGGAGAGATGGCTCAGAGGTTAAGAGCATTGCCTGCTCTTCCAAAGGTCCTGAGTTCAATTCCCAGCAACCACATGGTGGCTCACAACCATCTGTAATGGGGTCTGGTGCCCTCTTCTGGCCTGCAGGCATACACACAGAATATTACATATATAATAAATAAATAACTAAATAAATATTGAAAAAAATCAGAAATAGGTTAATTAACTCAGTCAGCCTTGTGTCTCAGGCCCACAGAATTTCTCATCAGCTGACTCAGGTTTGGTCAAGGTAAACACTAACCTCTTAGTTATCCCGATGGTTCCCTTACCTGGAAATGGCCATCCCATATTCATACCATACTGGCGCAAAGCAACAGAAGAGGCGGCAAAACAGCCAGGCTGAAGCCAACTTAGGGCATCCTGAAACTGTAGGCAAAGTGACAGATATGAGGGCCACGGTTCTCTGAAAGGCCACCCCACACTCTGCCCTCACGGGGTTTTGTCTCAACAACCTCTTGTGCCTTGACTGTAGGCAGTGCTTTTTCTAGCTGACACAAGTATTCAAACAACAGCTTTTCCATGGCAACCACAAAGGGTTCCCCATAGTCTTGTTTGAGTGTCTATATGTGGGAAGAGAAACAGATCATATGAGTTTTAGAAAAAACAGGAATCACTTAAAATCCTCCAAGCCAACCATTCTCACCGGCAGGCTCGAGGCCAAATCCTCAGCCTTTGACAGCTGCTTCACTTGCAGGCAAAAATTCTCCCGGGCTTCCAAAATTTTCCCATCTTGCCTTTTCTGTTGAGGAGAGGGAAGACAGAAAAATTAGGGGGAGAGGGTGTCACCAGGACCCAGGGTCTATGGTTGCATCACGCCTCGTGAGTATGGTCTATCGAGGGATTACTCACAGTTGCAGGGTCCAGTGGTTCTGCTCTAAACTCTGGGAAGTGATGATCCAGGGCCTTCAGGACCTGGTCCCAGGGTTGCTCCTGCAGGATCAACTCCACCACCACCTGTACGGTACTGGGCTCAGAATTCCTACCCTTCTTCCACCGATCTTAATCCCAACCAGTCGGCCTTCCTCAGGTCCTCTCATCCCGCCCCTTTAGGTTCTACTCTAGTACCTTGGCTTTTAGGCCTATGCACAGCCGTTCGTGGTGTCGGTAGCAAACCAAGCCGGGAGCAGCTGCGCGCAGGAACTGCAGAAACTCTACCACTTTGGGGAAGTGCTCCACGCGACGCTGGCGGACGACCAGCCAGCTGGCGGCGGCTGCAAACCGCAGAAACGCGGGACCCACCCCCCGAGGTGGCGCCATGGCCCGCAGGCACCCTTTCCTCCGCGCCCCTCGCCCCGCCCAAGCTTCCCGGCCTCTCCCGCAGGCCGAGCTTCGGTTCTCTCGTCGGCCGCGGAGGCTCGGCGGACTGGCTTGGATCCCTGCCGCAAAGCACCGAAATTCTGGCGTCCCCCTCTCGGGCGGTAATTAAGTGTCCGACCCAGCCCAGACCGCTAAGCTCAAAACGCGGGTACTTTGCGGAACTCGCGGGTGCGTCACTTCCGCCTGAGCGCTCAGCTTTCCCGCCTCGGAAGAGGCCCGCGGGGATCTGTGACGTCAGTGAGGGCGCCTGGCCTGGAAACGACGGCTCTCTCGCCCTTCTCTTCCTCTCCTCACTAGGAAGCGGAGTGTCTGTGACCCCCAACCGCCCGAACCGGCGCCCGCGAAGCCTTTCCTGGGCCGCAGGGCTGTCCCAGAGAGAACTCGGCCGTTCCCTTCGCGGAACAGAAGAGGGCGCTCGCGTTTAAGAAAACCAAATACAGGGCTGGAGCCGGGCTCCGCCGCCGAGTGCTCGCCCTTCCGCGCTGACTCGCCAGCCCCCACAATGGGTCCGACGCAGTGGGAACCGCCACACTGCTAGCCAGGGTCTCCCTGGGCGGCAGGGTTACAGCCGTTTTGTGCTTCTCTGTGCCAGATCATTGCTGTCTCGTGTAGCTTCGAATATTTAAAGTTTCCTTTTCCAAGTTTCTTTGGGCGCTAACTTGATTGAGCCCTTTAGTGAATTGACTGTTGTACTTGTCCTACTCCTTGTCATAGTTCCTGGTGCCTCTTTTTTTTTTGTTTTGTTTTGTTTTGTTTTGTTTTGTTTTGTTTTGTTTTGTTTTGTTTTTCGAGACAGGATTTCTCTGTATACTATACTGGCTGTCCTGAAACTTGCCCTGTAACCAGACTGGCCTCGAACTCTCTGAAATCTGCCTGCCTCTGCCTCCCAAATGCTGGGATTAAAGGCGTGCACCACCACCGCCTGACTCCTAGTGCCTCTTACTGCCATCCTCAAAGACAGGACCGGGCACACTGTACACTCTTACTTTGTTGATTGAATCCATTACCTGCCTTGCCCACCTTACAGGCATTTCGGGTAACCTGCCCAGACTCAAGGCTCACACGTCGCGTCCGTTCTCCAGCTGTGTTCTGAGCTTAGCCAGACCTAGTACCAAAGTACACATTGGGTGTTAAAGTTGGCGTTTTTTTCATCCTTTTTTTCTCTCATTTTTATGCAAATCTGAATGTCTGCCTATATAATTTTCATATTTTTATTAAGAATTTTCCTCATAGGGTATGATGTTGCACACCCGTAGATCCTAGCGTGAGGGAGATGAAGGCAGGCACCTGTGAGAAGTTCAGAGGCCAACTGTGCTACAGGTAAGACAACTTGTGTCTATAACTGCTACAAGTTGCAAAACCTTCCCATCCTACAAAAAAAATTCTAACATCTTGCAGGCACTTCTACTGGGGACACATTTCCTTGATTATTGTTCGAGAAAGTATTTCACTTTGGAAGAGAATTTCTCTGAATACAGTTACAGGTTGGTGGGCTTTTCCCCTACTTTTCACTACCGTAACTGTTTCCCGCTACTCCCTATTGCGGGCACGGTTCTGAGTGGAAGTCCATTCTAGCTATCCATTGTCTTTAAACCTGAGAAACCGATTTCCTTTTTAAAATTAGTGTATATTAATTTCATTCTTTTGAGATTTTTAAAAATATTTATTTATTTATGTATACAATATTCTGTCTTGGGCTGGAGAGATGGCTCAGTGGTTAAGAGCATTGCCTGCTCTTCCAAAGGTCCTGAGTTCAATTCCCAGCAACCACATGGTGGCTCACAACGATCTGTAAAGAGGTCTGGTGCCCTCTTTCGGCCTGCAGACATGCACGCAGACAGAATATTTTTTAAAAATATTTATTT